GTCCCGTCACCCTTGACGTCACGGTGTGCGCCGTGACGCTTCGGGCTGCTAGCACTCGGGGCCTGCCGTCAGCCAGAGAAGTGTTTGCATCATTCCCGCTCCTGTGGGTTTTGTCTTACCGGGTTTAACCAAGTCTGTAAGGCCGCCAGCCGAGCCCCCACGCGTAAAGAGTTCTGAACCTGGAAAAGTAAATAGGAGGTGCTCAGGTGGGTTTATGGGACAAGTTTCTGGCAGTTGTAAAAGGATGATGCTTTGTTCAAAAAAATCAAAATTCCACCTTCCCCTCTGCCACGCTGGTCACAAGTGAGGAGCCCTCCCTGTGCTGCGTGTCGGGCGGTACGTCAGCTTTCACCCGGTACGGCACGACGGCGTTTGACGCCTTCCTCCGCCCTGGCAGTTCACCCCCCACCTGCGGTTGTTCAGTGTTAGCGTATCACCTTGGCTTGAATGTAGGTTTAGAAATAGGAGCTTGTGGTCATTAAGCTGTTGATGTACAGAGCTGTACAACTGGAGAGATCCTTGGAGGAGCGGAGCATCGATTGATACCACTTAAGGATGACTTGAAGGTTCTCTTGGGCTAACTGGCAGGAAAGGATCTATGTTCGAGTGTGTGAAGAAGTTCCAAAAACTTGTCATTAATAAACTCCCTACAGTCAGATACTTGCTGTCTCTTGGGACTATCAACCTGGCAACCGAGGCCTGCTCCTGTAAAGTGTGAGGCGCTTACAGATCCCGCTGAGGAGCTGGGTGTGCTGAGAGCCCAGCACCTTGCGGGATCAGACCTTGGAGGCGAGGAGGAAAGCAGTAGTATTGTGCGCTTCTCTTTGAATAAAAGAAAGCCCTATGGTTCAGCTTTCCTTCTGGGTTTCAGGTGGATTTTCAGGTTCCACAGTAAAGATCTCTTGTCACGCTGCAGGGTAGCTGTTGAAGAGCTAGCAGGTAGGTGCTAGCTTTTCCAGCCGGCCTTTGACCGATCGCTGTGGTCCCTGTTAACACCGGGCGGCTTGACTCCCTTGCTTCGAGCTGGAAAATCATGCTTGGGAGTGAGGAAGTGCACAAAGGTTAGAGCTAATTTCTATTAATTGCTCTATGGTAGTACCACGTTGGCTTGGGAAAAAAAAAAGGAAAACCAGCCTGTAAACGGAGTACTTTGGATGCTAAACTAAAGTATAAATTCACTTCCTTCTGGTTTTACTTTTTAAAGCTTTCTTAATCTTCAGCCAAAAGCTGTAAGAAATGGGATGCATAACAAGCACAGAAGGGGTGTTACACTGGTGCTTAGAATACAAGCCAAAGACCAAGCTCTTGACTCAAGAAAGTATCTAGCGTGTTTGTTCGCTCGTCCCTGCAGTGCCTCTTGCAGTTGCCCTCGTGGTGTAACATCAGGTTTCCTGCTTCCAGAACTGGAGCTAACCGTGCTATTTCTGTGCGGTCTTGGTTGCCCTTTTTGGGGTGGTACCTGACATATTTATACACCTCCTTGCAGGTGTTGAGTGTAGGTCAGGTTCAGGGAAATAGAACTTGAAGAATAAAATAAAATCTGGTGTTTTTTTTTTTTAACTAGACTGCTGTGAGCGTACTTGGTTCTATGGGAGTATTTCTTCGGGTCTGCCCTGCAAGCACTTGTCCGCATCGATAACTTCAGTCTGTGACTTGACTGGACTTTTTACTTGTGTGCAAATTACTTAAGCTCGACTGTCTGCAGGATCTAGTCCAGAGTCCTCCTCACACAGTAACCCAGTCACCTGAACATTGCAAAGCCATTTTGTGGCAGCTTGTTGAATGGTTGATGACTAGTGTGTCTAAGTAAATGTTCTTTCTAGTGAAATTAGTTTAATGGGGGACATTTTATGGGGAAGGAAGAGGACTCTATTGATGGACTACACCGTATGGCTTTGCCAGGCTGCTGATCATCACTTACACGCACGCACAAAAAAATCGGTCGGTGTTCTGATCAGTGCTGTTCTTCTGTGTGTAAGCCTCCAACTGCTCAACTTTTGCAACCTTTTTCCCATATCTGTTGGAACATATTACAAGCAGGTAATGTGTCTCAGAAAGTAAATATTAATATGTACACACATATATTTCAAATCAAAATTATAGCTTAAAGAGGGTGATCATGAGAAATAAGCAAAGCTGTGGGGTTCTATAGGTTTGGGGTTTATTTTTGTTGTTGTTTTTAATCTTTTTTGCCTTTGCAGATTTTGTTGTTGCAGTTAAGCAGGTAGTCTTCCTTAAAGTTTGTTGAGTTTGTTTTTTCTTTCTTTTCTCTACTGCTAGGGAAAAAAAGATCTGCAAGTTTTGGCTAACAAGTAGGAGAGGAAAGTGAGTGTATGGAGTCAGATGGGAAGTTACACGGGAAAAATGCAAGAACCCATTATTGTCTTTTGCCTATATAGTAATATTTAGTATTACTTGTTAGAAAAAGAGATACTTGATTTCTAAAAGAATGTTTCGACTTGCAAATCCTGAATAAGCTCACTCAAGGAGACATATGCCCTGACTTAAAAATACCCAAGAATGTCCTAGTTGAGTGGAAACACTGGAAAATACACAGGATGGTATTTTATAATTGGGCAGTTCTATTAGCGCATGAGGACAAGACGCAAAGCTCACCGTCCTGTAGGCTTTTTTTTACCCTTACTATTTTCCTGGAGCTTGCATGGTAGCATTTAAGTCTTAAAACAGCACCAAAAGCTGCAAAGGGCACCAGGGAGGCATGTCTTTTGGGGAATAAGAAGGAAGCAGTAGTCAGTTCCCTCCTTCATGGCACACCTCAGCCAAGGGCCCTTCAGATTGTCTAACAGGAAGGACATCAGCAATCACGTCACTGCCAACTTGGACAAAAGTCAAGCTGACGTTCCTTCAGCACTGCTGTCTTTACTGCAGAATTGGGTATGTGTGCTACCCTAGAAAAACGGCTGCCTCCACTTTCTTCTCACCACTAGAAATCGTTAGCTAATGTTTAGGCCAGACTACTAAGAGGTTTGGATGTTGATCCAGATCTTTGCAGACCAAGACTTTTGTCAGTAGTGCTGTCTGCCAGACCTCTCTTCCCTTTGTCCCAAGGCTGCTGTTTCTCATGGGGAAGTGGAAAAAGCTGACTTCAGCCCCTTGTGAGATGGGAGCTGGATCAGATCCCCCCTGTCCGTTCCTCCTGTGGTTCCAGCTGACTACTTGTAGACCCTCCTTTAGCTGCCCCTTTCATGTCAATAATAGCCAACAGCCCTTAAGTGGAAATTGATTCTCTGCATTGGTTTCATTTGCAGGATTTTAAGCTCGAGTTTGGCCATCATCAAGGCAGGACAAGTTCTGTCTGGTATGGAGGTACAGCTACCATTGTTCAGAGCCCTGGAGACGAAGTATGGGGAATAGTGTGGAAAATGAACGCTAGCAATTTAAGTTCACTGGATAAGTAGGTGACTTAACTTTTGCTGCCTTCTACTACTTTAGAGAGCAATTGAAAAGTACTAGTTAATTTTTGGTAAAGAGCTGTTTGGAAGCTTTGGTGTTGGAATCAAGAAGATGCTTTGGATTTTAATACGTGAATTTCACTTCACAGTACCTATATTGACTTCTAACACATTTGTAACTAAAATAGCTTTGTTTTCAAGCTAAGGCTACTTAGGGGTATTTTAATAAGGCGTGGGAGCCTTGATTTGGAGCTGCTACGTTGGTCAGGCTTCTTTTTTTTTTTTTTTTTTTTTTTAAACCCTGTCCTGACAATGTCCTATCCCTTAAATGAGACTCAACTCTGTATTTGTCATGTGGCACTTTTCCCATTGCTTTAGGGAGAGTTTCCTTTGCGACTGACATCAATTTCTGTCTCTACATCTGTAGACTCCAGTTGTAGTGGAAAAGGAAGGGATGAAGATGAGACTCTGCAGAAGAGAAGGAAATCTTTAGTCCCAGCAAAGAGACCTTTTGAGGAGGTTATTTTGCATATCTTCTCTTCTAAGGATTCGAACTTTTATGAACTTGAGGTAGATCCAAGCAGGGAGCTGGGGTGGTATTGTTTCTCCCTTTGAATGGGAGAGGCTGCCTGCAGCATTACAATGCATGGTGGAGAATGTTCTGCCTTTGCCTGACAATTAAGACAAGTTTAAGGCAACCTGAGCCAGTCATTCCCAAGCTGAAGTCTGGAGGACCACCTGGGTAAACAAATCAAGGAGTAGCATAACTTCGTGCAGGGTCTAAGGCAGAACTTAGAACTTAAATCTCCAAAACTTTGGCTGGTGTCATGTGCTTTTTGCAGCTTTTGGGATGTGCCTGCACAGCACGGTGCTTCTGGTACACAAGCATCGTTTGTTTAGAGCAGTTCATCGCTGTCAATTAATTCCAGTAGAAATCTGGGCTAGTGAGGCTAAGGAAGCAGGGCGTATTAAACCCATTGAAAGCAGTACGGTTCTCCTGCCTCTGGTACTGTTGCAATTTTGGTTATGGCTGCACTGTGCTGTGTAGACATGTCCTGATAACCTTGGCCAGGAGACTTGGAAGTTCCAACTTGCTTTTCGTTGCCTACAGTGAACCTGAAATACAACAGAAACTGTTGCCCAAGTTCTGTTGGCACATCATGGGAATGGGCACTCTTGGCATTCTCATGTCCTGGTTGGGAGTGTTAGTCCCAAGCAAGAGAGCATCTAGTTGCTAGGCTTCTGGTTGGGGAGAGCTTCATGTGTCCCTGCTTTATGATCTTCTGAGTTCCCCCTTTGTTGCTTACACTAACATTTATCTCCTGCCCCCTTTTCTGCTGACCTCTACTGAAATCTCCTGATTTGCCATGCTTTCCTAAAGTATAAACTTTAGAAGTATAAAGATCCTGTCTGACAGCATCTCCTTTGATAGTAGCACTGTGCTTCCCCCCCGCCATGGGGACAGTATTTTGAATTCTGACTTCCAGAAGTATTGTTTACATACTGTAGAATTGCAGATCCCTAGCGTTTGTTTGACGGGGATAAACTTTAATGCCGGCTAAGATGCTAGAGACTTGAGTGCTGTAACGTCACCAAAAATTGCAGGACGGACACTAGCATTAAAGATTGCTTTTTCCCAGCTGCCTCATTGATGCCATGAAAGAGAACTGGAAATGGAAGGAAACAGGACGTGTTCTTGGCTTTTACGATGATAGTCAATAGTGTTCTTCTAAGCATTGCTCCTAACCAACTCAGATGATCTTGCATGTGTTCCTGAAAAAAATTGGGATTGTTTGGCTATGCGCAAGCAGATATATTTCTAAGTTCTCAACCAAGTTATTTCCTGGAATTTCCATGTATTGAGAAAAACTTTTTTTTTCCCACTATTTGTCCCCTTCCTCCCATCCCTTTTTCTCCCCAGTCTGGATAAAGAAGTCTGTCATCCAGAAGCAGAGGAGGGAATGTGTAATTGATGCTGTGTGTAGTCAGTTGAAATACTAGTAAAACAATCTAATATATAGAAAACAAATATGGGAGGGGAATCTTTTGCTTAGATGGCTGAATTCTTTGGCTTCAAATGCATTTTGGTGCTGTCTCATGGTCAGATTTTTTTGACCTCTGTGCTTCAGAAATCTGTGAGTTACAGACTAAATCATGACTTTTCCTCATATATCCTAGCAATGGATGTTACTGAACTGTAATATTTTTCTTGCTTTCACACACCCATGTGACTGTTGGCCTTGAATCTGCAGTTAGCTTCCAGTCTCTACTTGCACTTAACCTAGTTACTCGCATAACATGGCCTGTGTTACGTACATTAAATAACTTGAAATGGTAGTAAGTCTTTGAAAGAAAGAAGTTGTCAAAATGATATTTTGATGACCAGCGTTAAAACTCACGTTATCACTCATCTCTAAAGCGCGTCTACAGTTAATCGTGCTATAAAGTCTGTCTTGTATTGTTTAAGCTTCTTGTTCACTTCTTACTGTTTCCTCAGACTTTTATTGGTGGCTAAATGCTAATGATTAAAGACAACAAGTAGCCTTGGTTTTGAGTTTGGTTTTGTTTTCCTAAGACAGCATGATTTTGCTAATAAGAAAATAACAAAATGGTTTTTGCCCTGATCTAGCTCATTGTTGCCGTACACGTCTTGTGCAAATTACAGGGTGTCTTGGATTACTCATTGGAATGTGCATCGCAAGAGTTGTGCGAGTTTCCCCTTATTCAAACATAACACAATGGGCAAGATAAAACTTTGCAGTTGTTTTATTATTTGAGCGGAAGGTAATGAATGATATGTGCCTGGCTCATTAATTCTGATAATCTTGGTTGTGTTTCTTTTGTAGATTACCAGACTTGCACAGTAATTAATTCACAAGGAATTAAGTCTCTATTCTAAATTAGGTCTCTCTCCTAAAGTATTCTCTAACTTTGCAAGTTAACCACTAGTCATCTTTCTTACAGAGCTGAAATGATAAAAGCGAATGCTGCTGCGGCTTTAGAAACTTATTTTTGGATATGAAACAAGTTTGCACAAAAAGTACTGGAATATGTTTTGCTTTATTTGCTTTTCTTGAAGTCTGTTAACAGCGCAGTGTCCTGCCTTGAATTCTGTTATAATAAATGCCTATATTTAGTTGCACAGTTTGTTTGAAAGATGCATCAGTTACTTGGCATGAAAGGAATATATGTTCTTTACAGGCAAGAGGGAGTTGAAGATGGCATTTATGTCCCAATAGAAGTTACTGTCCACACTCAAGCCGGAGAGGTACTGACCTGTCGAAGCTACCAGATGAAGGACTATGTCTGTGGTCCCCCTTCTCCTCAGTATAAAAAGGTAGGTGTTGCATCCCTGTAACTTTGAAAGCATGAACAGAAATACATAATGCAGTACTTCTGTTTAATTATTCGCAGTGGATGGAAGGCATGACTAACTCTGATGTAAAGGTATAACTTAATCCTTGTGCAATGTACCACTGTAATGATGGTCGCAGAAGATTGCTAGCTCTTAAAGGCCTACTAAATCAGTTTTATTTTCTGGCTTAGTTATGCCTTACATGAAGCCTCTATTTAATTTGTGGATTAGTTATGACTGACACAAGGATTTCTGAAGGATGTTGCTTACATATACACAGCATTTCTCTGTTTGAAAAAGTAAAGTACTCCACTAAAAGGACAGAGGGAAGCTTCTGTGGGGAGAATACAGCACCTGGCTTGTAGTCTCAAGGACACAGATTATCCTTATTGTCTTATGAAGTATCTTACTATCATTTAATACAGGAGTCCACCTGCCTTCTTTTACCAGATGCATCATCAGTATATCACAGGACTTCTGGCAACACTGCAAAGTACTGCAGGGCTCCCACTTGATGGCTGGTGAGGCAGAAGTGTTTCAACACTGTTCTGCAACACGCTGACTCCATAGAGACACATGATCCAGTCACACAGCAGGCCTGACCTGCTTAGCTTGTGAGAGCTGATGCGGGCCTAGCCTCGGGTGGCATGACTGCATATCTAGAATTGTGCAGCTATTTGCAATTGTAGATAGACATCACTTTAACATGTTGACTGTTTCTACCGAAAGCAAAGAAACCGGGCTTGAGCTTGTTCAATCCCAAGTGTGCCGCCTCCTCTGAACTGGGGAACTCGCTCCTGTGAATCAGCTTCCAGGAGCATAGCTAGGGCCAGATGCTGCAGGACTTGTGAAGAGAGAGCTTGCTTAGAAAGCGGGCTCTGCCACTTCACAAACCTCCTCCCTGCCAACCCGCTTCATCTCAAGACAGATCTTTAGGGCTTTTCAGGGAGTTAATAGATAGTCTGCTGCTGTGTGTCAACTCTCACTACTATGCTGTAAGAGCAGACCTCCAACACTGTCAACTTTATCTAGCTAAACATTCCCTCCTGGTGTTGTCAGGGTCAGTTAGTTCTCTTCCCCCCTGCCCCCAGCTTTTATTTGTTTCAATTAACCAGGCAGGAGGGCTAAAAATTTAGTACCAGTGACTGCATCGGCACATAGCGATCTACGTCCATCTGTTGTTGTGTACTTTTTGTGGCAAAGTTCATCCTTTCCAGACACCTCGCCGTTGAATCTCCTGGCTGTTGAATGCATGAAAGAATATTTACAATAGCATCAGCTTTTAAAATCTGTGTTATTTACCTACTCATTTCTATATGGGAGCTTGCTGGTGTCTCTTTCAAGCCTTGGCTCCTACAGCCTCCTCTTCTCTCACTGTTATTTTTTTCTTTTGCACCAATACTTAAGTTTATTCTGTATATAGAAGGAAAGCTGCAGTAACAAACTGTAAGGAATCTGCTTTTTCACTAAGCTAAGTGTCTGTTTCCTTTACTCCTGTAACCTGTCTAGGTACTCACTGTTGTGCTTTGGATTTGAACAGCTTAGTTTTAAAACTAACTTCAATAATATACAGTGCTTCTCACTCAGATGGAATACGAAGACTGGCTAAAGGCATAAAAAGTAGTTCTCATCCTCACTGGAAGGAAGAATGGAATAACTGAGTAACAGCTTGATTGTACAGTCTTGTGCACATTGGTAACGTTTTAGAATCTTAGGGGTATGCCTTGGTAGTTACAAGGCTTTTCAGAGTAATTTTGTTGACACTATTAAGGTCTTCAGTGGTCTTCCAGAAGCCTTTGGCTATCTTTAGGTACAAATAGCATTATTTGGGATTAATTGTCTTGTTACTTGAAGTGGTTTTTCCTGTACAAGTAAAGGTTTGGAGGAGTCTTTCCTTCCTATCACTATTATTGAAGGCTTTCCCACCTTCCCCCCTGCTTTTGATTATAGGTTATCTGCATGGGTGCAAAACAGAACGGCTTGCCAACTGACTATCAGAAGACATTAGAAGCTATTGAAACCAATAACTATGCAGGGCCGGTGCGAATCATGGAAGAGATTGAAGCTGCTATTAAAGCAGAGAAAATAAAATCTGCGTAGAATACCTCTGCACTTGCTTGGCCGTTCACCTTGATTTAGATACCTCTCCTCACTATGCTGATCAGCAGTTTCTCTATTTATCAAGAAAAGATGAGTTTGCTGTGCATCTACAGTAAGCCATTAGACTTAATTTGCAGTCTGAAGATACACTGACATTGGTAACTTCCTTGCTTTGTATGTATAGCTTGAGTACATGCTGAAGTTTTTGCAGATTTAGAAATGATCTTTTTGTAATTGTCATGCAGTGCTGCATGCAAATTTGTGTTTCGTGTCCTGTTTACTGACCTTTTTAAAGGAAAAAGGCCATCTTGATGAGTATTGGCATCTGTTACCTTCTGAGGAATAAGGGCTGCAGGATCAGGCCCTTTGTTCTTAAATGTTGTATACACAAATACCACGAATTTCAAAGATTTGTTAGATGCAAAGTAGACTCAAAACAAGACTAAACTTTTTCCTCTGCTGCTTCTCGTAATAACTTAAAGCCCAACCTCTGAAGCTATGGCCTTCCTGTTTCTGTTTATATAGTTAACATAGAAAGAAAAGTAGTATAT